CTAAAGTGTTGTCATTGTAGTAAAAACGGTATGAGGCTTTAGAATTAAAATCCACACATTCCCATTTATAAACACTGAAATTTGGAGTAAGCTTCTCAACTTCTTTGAGACACATTCTTCTGATCTATAACTATATCTCAGCGAAGTGTGATGCTAGAATACATAAGCCTAGCATAAAGTATAGCATTCAAAAGTGTTATTCTCACACATATTACACCATCCCAAATACATAATAGCTAAGTTTTATGGAACAATTTATAAAGTTTTCAAATAGCTATATTTACATCTACCACTATCAAAAAATAAATAGAACATTTACCGATCTGCAGGTAGTAAATGAGAATCAGTGACACCAGGGACAGTAAATGACAACATAACAAAGTCTTGCAAAGGAGTAAACAAGATTTTAACACTTTTTTCTTTTAGAAATTCTCTCCTTTAAAGAACATCCTTTTTCTTATAATTTTAAATTCAATGGCTCTCCTAGGCTTTTGAATTAAAATAATCCAGTAAAAAGGAGTCAAAATATTGAAGCCAGATAGAGCTTGACAGAGAACAAGCAATGTTGATTTACTGGAATCAGAAACTTCCACAAGAAATTACCATGAATATATAATAACGGTGATGATTTTCCAAAGAACCTTTCGGAGTTCTTTGTATGGTTTCTATTCTGTAATTTGTTGCTTAGCAGACAGAGGTAGAAATTATGTTGCTACATGGAGCATTATCTAAATTAAAAACATGTAAAGTCACAAAAACAAAGTACATTTCTTGAGCATTTTAGAGTGACATGCTTTTCCAACTAATAATGAAGGCAAGAATGGAACCCATGTGGACTTGAATCTTGGCCATCACAGGAACGCAGAAATAAACTGCTATGTTTTAATACTTTCCTAAATTCTAGTATAATTATTTTGTATTCTACTTACACCAAGATAAATATTATAATAATTATAATTACTTAACAAGAGCTGAATAAGCCTTACAATGTAAAAAAATAACTTCTTACTATTTTCTATTAATCTCTTATATGCTGAAGCATATTTTATATCTTGATGCATTCCTCTATAAGATGAATCTATTTCCTTTTTCCTACTGCTAATTCTCCAGCTATAATGATGTCATTCCATTTTTCTCACATACTTTAGAACTTTGTTCCACAAATTATATACGCTTTTTGTATCTCCCTCTCTATGTAGTCATTTTAGATTCTTTCCTTGAAAAAATTAACCTCTCACTATTCAATGTTCCCCAAGTATTTTGTTTATATTGCTAATACGAATTGGGATGTGTGCTGAGGGAAGCAGACTAACCTAAAGAGAGCTAACTTTATAGTTAGCAAGTTCTACAAAAAAAATAATACCCTACAACACTCGGATGTGGACTGTGTAAGAATAAATATAAATCACATATAACTGGCACTCTCAACATACTGTATACACATATTATAATTTGCTGTCAAACTGGATGTCTGTCTACTGAGCTCAGTGATTCACAATTTAGATTGTGGGGTTTTGGAAAACCCTAAGACATCCAGATATTCCTCCCCCACTCACTGAAATCAGTGCCTTTAATTTCATAGGTAGATATAGATATAGAAAATATAGATATATATAGATATAGACATAGATGTAGTTTTTTTTGAGACAGGTTCTTGCTATTCAGTTCAGGCTGGCCTCAAACTCACAGGGATCCTCCTACCTCAGCCTCCCAAGTGCCGGGATTACAGGTGTGCCACCACACCAGGCTTCAGTGCCTTTAATTACGAATTCCATGAAATCATACATTAAAATTTATGTACCTCTAAATCCCCCAATACCTGGCCCAAAACTTTTCATATATTAGTTGCTAACATATGCTTCTTTGCAGTAAAGGCAATTTAGCTGTGGCTAGTAAGTACAGAAGTTTTTGGATATGTTTAATTTTTAGTAGAATGAAACAATTTTCTTTTTTCAACAAATATTATTTTACAAAATCCCATTGCTTAGGCTACTTTTCTAGCTATCTTCCCATACAATCTGATTAGCTACTTCTACAAAAAATATGCCTATATATATTAAGTACTTTTCTTTTGAGAAGCTCAAAGATTTTCTCATCAATCCTTAATTCTAAAATAAATAAATGAATCAGTTTGGAGATTCCTCAGCAAACTAGGTCTAGAGGTCCCATTCAACCCAGCTATTCCCCTTTTGGGTATTTTCCCAGAAGATCTGAAAACATCATATCACAGTGATATATGTGCACCTATGTTTATAGCAGCGCAATTTGTAATTGCTAAATTGTGGAAGCAACCCAAATGTCCATCCACTGAGGAATGGATAAAAAAATTATGGTATTTTTATATAATGGAATATTACTCAGCTATAAAGAAAGATAAACTCAAGGCTTTTACAGGTAAATGGTCACAACTAGAAACCATACTCACAAGTAAAATAAATCAGACCTCCATGTGTAAGCAACATACTGTCTCACTAGTGTAAGAACCTGAAAGAGTGAATAAAAATTAGGAGGTATGATAGACATTGTGAAACGAAAGGAAACTGCTCAAAAGTCAAGAGCAACTGGGATGAGGGAAAAGAGAGAAAAAGGGGAAGTTATGTATGTATGTATATATATACAGGATAGCTAGCATAGTTGTTCCACTGACTTCTATTGCTCTACTGAAAGGAACAGTTAATGATTAATTATTTGATCAATCTTGCATGTCTACATTTGTTTTCCTGAGAAACCACTTTGAAGATATCCATGTGTAATACAACAACCACTGTTAATTTCCTACCACTTTGTCTATAATTCAGTATTGATTGTATTGTTCTTATGATATTTTGTAAATGAATGTCTGTTTGTTAATATTTTCCTTCTTTATCTTTAAAATAAATTTTAAAAAATAAAATAAATAAATGGAGATAGGAGGAAAATATGGAACTATGACTTTGTATTCCATATGAACTCATAAATTTCACAAATTCCACATAGCAAAAATTCCATTTTAATTTCTCAATTTACATGCATTTTGTCATATTTTTCATGTTTTTCTTTGTACTGGGGATGGAACCCAAGGGTGCTTATCCTTGAGCTACACTCTTAGCCCATCTTATTTTTTACTTTGAGGCAGGGTCTTGTGAAGTTGCCCATGCTGGTCTCCAATTTTTGAGTCTACTGCCTCAGAATCCTGAGTAGTTCAGATTACAGGCATCTGACAACATGTCAGGTTTTTGTTTTTTTTCTGAGTCAGCATCAGGCTGGCCCCAAATTTGCAATCCTGCAATTCAGCTACCCAAACAGCTGAGATTACAGGCACATGTAATCATGCCCAGCTTAGAATTTTTTTTCTGAGTCTACCAGAAGTACCTACTTTACTCAACTAAATCAGGATATGGTGGTCTGTACTAAAAATTTTTATTTGCTTAAGAAAACAAACATTTCAAAATGTGTTATATGCAGTATGTAAAACAACATAAAAACAATGAATCTAATCTAATAAAAAACTGGCCGTTGAGCACAGGTCTACTTTAGCTAACAAATATAGACTGCAAAATATTTAGGAATTAAGATATATTTTTTAAACATTAATAATCAAAATCTAACAGACCAGCCCAATGATGACTGATTAGCCAATCCTGGCAATCTTGATCTCTTTTGCCAGTAATAATTGGTCAAAGATCTATAGTCTAGAACTTGCCAATGAATTGAAGGAAGCTGCTGGATTCCTTCCTTCAGATAAAAGGGTAGCAAAAGGCATAGTGTTTTTTGCCTACCAACCAGTTTTTTTTGCACACACAATGCTGTCAAGTTGAACCTAATACTTAAGAGAGCTATACCACTATCTTGAGACTATAAGACAGAGACCACGTGAATTTCCACAATCCCGACTCTTCACCTAGACATAACGAAGTCTCATAAGTTAAGTGAAATAAACGTTGTTTGTCTAAGTCACTGAAGATCAGATAGTCTTCCCTGAAATTGAAAACATCCTAATTAATATAAGCAAATCAGGTGAGAAGGGATGTAGATTAATTATTGAGCAATAATAATTTCTGTAATCTCATAAAATTTTCAAAACAATCCAATGAAAATTATACATCTTTTTTTGCTTGATTTACAGATTAGAAACTAAGGATTAATACAGTTACATAGTTAATAGTAACAAAGCTAAAATTTGAATCTAGACCCAATATCAAATTTCAATTCTTTTAAAAAATACAATGTAAAATCCCCTTTCTTATTTACAGCTCTTCTTAAAAGAAAATAATAACAAATAGTAAGTTGTGTTATTAATAGAATTTTTGAGGGGATCCAAGGAATACCAATTATTCTTATAACTTTGTCATAAAGATACATAGACTTCAACTCTATTTTATGTTAAAGTTATATGAGGGAAAGGACAAAAATACATATACGTATCTATTTAAAGTCACAAAATGTCTAATACAACCACAAAAATCTTGTAGAAGGGCCAGGGATATAGTTTAGTGACACAGCACCTCCCTGGCAAGTGCAAGGTCCTGAGTTCGATTCCCAGTACAAGAAAAAATCCTGTAGAAAAAGTGAAATAGATTCTAAGTTTAACAGTTTTCCAAGAATTAAAAAATATGAAGTTGCTGGGTGTGATGGTGCACGCCCATAATCCCAGCATTCAGAAGGCTGAGGCAAAAGATTACCATTGAGGCCAGCCTGGATTACATAGGGTCTCAAAAAAAAAAAAAAAAAAAGAAGAAGAAGTCAATTGCAAGTATTTCCTAAGCTATAAGAATAACTTCCTTATTTCAAATTATTCCATGAACCAAGTATCTATCAATATAGAAGCCACAAAGTTAACACTTCCTCAATTCTCATCTCTTCATAGAAACTGATACAGCACAAATCTTGACAACAAAATGATAACAAAATATCTGCTAAGATCAGCAAGGTCACTTCTTATAGAGAACGTTATTAGAACTGGGTTTTCAAAAGCTATCTTGTCATCTCAACCAGATTCTGAGCTCATAAATGCAACTTACCTTCCCACATGCTCTGCAATGATGCCTTCTTTTGGTGAAGGTAAACCGGGCTTCACATTTCATGCAATTTGGAGCCTGGGAATCTGGTACCCATACTGGAGCTACTTCACCCAGAGTGGTAAATGGCTTTCTGGCAGAAATTCCAAACTGACCAGCTCTCAGATCATTATCTGGGCTATCTGGAGCTACTGCAAGGCACGGTCTACTGGAGGCCTCATAACTTTCTAAATGTTCCCCATTTGTATCAGCAATAGAGATGTTTCCCAAAGAGGTGTTGGTTGCTGAGTTTTCCCCTAGTTTGGCTTTTCCAAGAATATCATTTTTGTTTTTAATACTATTTCCGTTGTTTGTGGGAAGGTCATTTTTTAAATGGTCTGATAATGGCTTTGGAATTTGAAGTTTAAGATTAGAAGGTTGCTTGGGTCTTGCACCACCAAAAGGAACACTGACGGATTGCAGATTTGCTACTATCTTGGGGGAAGACTGCACAAGGACTGATGGAACTTGACTACAGAAATTATGTAAATAATTTTTCTTCATTAGGTCACCAGTGCTGTTTAAAAGTAGTCCACTCCCTTCTGTGGCCTCATTTCCTCTCTGTTCATAAATGCTTGAGTAGCATTCTGACTTGCTCTCCTCGATTTCTTTTTCTTCTGTTACTGAATCTTCTTTGGAGGGTAAAGTCTTTGGAACAAAAGAAACAACTGGGCTCTGCATTCCATAGGAATCACAACCATTAGATACAGAATTTGCTGCTGGTGAATCTGTAACAGTGGAGAAATCACATCCTTCACTTTCACTCATGCAAGTTCCTTTTAAATCTAGACCTGCATCTGCCATTCCAACACACTCTCCTACATTATCACCATCAGTGTCATCAGGCTGATTAATTTGTAAAAACTTTTCATTTTCTTCATTTACTTGGCGATCACTCATCTCATTTAGTTTAGTCAATTTCCAATTACTCATGTCCTGAGAGTCAGAGAAATGTTCTGTCATATTAAGAAGTTCTGTGGTGCCGATAACTTCTTCATGTTCATAATGTTCATTTTCATTAGCTCTAACTTCACTAGGCACAAGGCAATCTGAAAATTGTTCAGAGTTATCCTTTCCAGGTATGTCTGGTTTGAGACACAAAGGTAAACCAGACTGGAGTGATTTTTCAGTTGTTCTCTCCTCTGCTGGCTCTTTTTTTATCAAAATCTCCTCACTCAAGTGGGAAAAGGAGTTTGGATTCCCTACATCTGTCCGAGGAGAGCTGATTTTGCCAATGAAATCCTCACTGGGTACATAGTCCTCTTGCTTTTTAACAGTAGGACCTCTATCTGTTCCCTGGGATGAGATCGCTGAATCAACTGTTACATTTGTAATCACAGACACTGAGGAGTCTCTACCTATATTTTCATCATCCTTTAATTGTGAAGTGGAACACATACTGGTTAAACTATCAGATGAAGTTGTACATAGATGATTAACAGAATCCCCTTCTGTTTTTGGTCTTTTCAATGGATCCATTTGTTTCTCTGAGTTCATATCTTTTTCAGTGGATCCATTCATACTAAAACTAAATTGATCAGTTTGTCTCTTTTCATTATCCAGTGAACAGCTAAAAGAATCCATGAGAGATTGACTATTATAATTATTACAATCCTGCAAGTCACTTTGTAATGTCCTTTTATCACAATTATGCATGACAGCTACAACAAGAACATTCTTCTCATCTGTAAGACAGGTTAAGTCTCCACATTTCTTCTCTCCCGCCTCAACAGCACTGTACTGATCATCTCGATTATAGTTTCTCTTAATTAACTGATCTTCTGCAACAGCATTTCCATCAATCCACATTGTGGCAATCTCTGGATTTAGACTACAGTTCTGTCCATTAGCACAATGATCTTCACCCTCTTTGGTTGGAGCCGAATGAGCCACGGAGAAGACTTTTAGCTGTGGCTGTGATTCATTACAAACTCCAGGTTCATTCACACTAGCCAGTGCAGGATTAAATGACAATCGGTGAGAAGAGGGATCTAGAATTTTATTCCACTTTGCATCCAATAAAGTAGAGGAAATTGTTTCATCTGGAAAAAATAAGTTGCTACCATAAGTTGGCTGGTAACAGTGAAAATCTACTAGGACAAAGTTAAGCAACATTTCCAACTATGCTCTGAAAATAAAATATATTCCTAGGATATGTATCTAATTTTTAAGTAGGAATAAGAAAACATATTAAAACAACTCCCTTAATTATGTTTCCAAATGGTACTATCTCAGAACATTTCAAACAACAAAAAGACTTTGATGTTAAGGCCGGGGATATGCTCAGTGGCACAAGTGCCTGCCTGGCAAGTGCAAAGTCAAAAAAAAAGAATACCCAAAAACAACTTCCACCTTAATCTGATACTATAATTACACTGACCTTCAAATCCAGGACTGGGGAAAGCATCCCTGGATTGTCTGTGCACAAAGCAAAACACATACTAATGGGAGGAGGCTCAACAATACAGATATAATCAAGTCAGAAGGAAAATGAACGAATTTCTTGCAGATAATTAATAGTCTCTAATCTGTATCATGATTGGTATGTGGGTTTCACAGCTCCACTTGTTAAAACTGTATAATTAACCAGGCATAGGGGTACATGCCTATAGTCCAAGCTACTTAGGAGGCTGACATGGATCTCATGGATCTCTTGACTCCATGAGTTCAAAGGCAGTGTGGGCAATGCAGTGTGAATCCTCTCTGAAAACAGAAAGACTATACAATTAAGATCTATTCATTTTAGTGAATATAAAGTTTATCTTATAAAAGTAAATAAAGGGAACAAGGAACAGATAAAGGTATAAATGAAACAAAAATGGCAACATGTCTGTCACCATTGAAGGTAAATACTGGGTACACTGAAGTTTAATATACTATTCTGTTTAACTGATGTATTTTAAATTTATGTACTAATTCCCCAAAATCAAAGTAATTACTATATATCCCATTTTATGTGTTTTTTTAAAAGTTTGCTATAGTATACGAAATGTTGCTCTAGCCATGTCACAGCATATTATTAATTAGGTTCATATTTATATTATCTGAAGACATTTGGCAAAGCATATTCACTTATTAAATCAGTTTATACTCTAAATTTCTCATAAAATTTCTCTTTACTTTTTAACAGATCATATCTATAACAGCTAAGTTATTTTCTCAAATTATGATATTGTGTATATCTAAGTAAATTATGGAAATAAAAAACAATGCACTTAGTACCTTTCCTGTTTTTCTCCAACTACTGATAATCATAGTTCTAAAATTATGCAGCTATATTCATAACATTAATCTTCAAAGTACCCATAACAGCTTGTTCATACCTTTATTAAAGCATTTACTACACTGTAATGCAACAACTTATTTATCTTATTTTTCATCAACTGCATGTTTTCTGAAGGCAAAAACCATTTCATGCCATCAATGTAAATTCTAATTTTGTATAGTCCCTACTATGTAGTAGGTACACAATACACATATGTTAAGTGAACAGCTACTACTGCAAAGGAATTAAGTTTGTGGAACATGAAAATTAAATTGACATTTTGTGTCTCTATAGAAGTATATAATCTAATTGGGACAATAAGATATACATACAATATATATGAGTATCTACAGTACAGAGTAGCATATGTATTTGAAAATGATTGTACAGAAATAGAAAATAAACTCAGAAGAGAAAAATTTTACAAAATGAGGTAACTGAACTTCATTCAATTCATGGAGGTGGTGCCAGGGATATAGCTCAGTGGCACCGCCTTCCTGGCAAGCATGAGGTCATGAGTTTGATTCCCAGCACAAAGAAAAAAAAAAGAAAAGGAAAAATTATACAAAGATGATGAATAATGCAATTCATGGAAGTGGGAGAAACTGCGCTAGACTTCAAAAATTTTCTTTATGTTTAGAAAAGAAGAGGAACAAACAAAAGCATAGCCCCAAGCATAAGAATTTAGTAGAGCATTAAGTATATCAATTTAGGCTAAGAAAATAAATAGCATAAGGAAGTAGTGAGAAGAAACTACAAAAAAAAAAAAAAAAAA